CAGAGAAACAGAGATTGAGGAATCATGCTTTTCCCAGTTCAAGCTCTGAGGACTTAAGAGCTCAAATATAATAACTATGAAAGAACACGAGGAGGAAAGCAGAAGAAAGGGAGTGGGTATCTGTGCACAGAGAGTACCACCCTGGCTCCTCCTGTAGCTGTCCCGAGTGTAGACGTGCGTCTAGAGCTTCCCCTCTCCTCCTCTCCCCAGATCCCCCAACTTACACTCCAACCCCACCAAAGAACTCTAGGTGCTTCTATCTACAAAGTGAATTAAACAACTTTAAAGATATGTTCTGAGGATGCTGTGGCTCTGCTCAGACAGAAATGTCTTGCACTCTGGAGGTGCTCGGTGTGGCCTGGCCAGCTCAGCTGAGTCTCACTAGCCTGTTCGTCTGAGGGCGGCTGTCTCCTCTCACGAATCCACAGCCTGTTGCCTGGCGAGGTCACGTTCAGCTCACGAGAGTAGTCGTTTGCTGGGGCTCACGTGCTCAGGGGAGTTTGGGCAGCAGGGAGCTGAATGGCCCCATCTTGTGTTCTTATGAAGTGACAAGAAGTTCTCACCACACAATCCCTGCAAGCAAATGTGATTGCAGTCTCCTTCGAAGATCTCATACCCCGTTTTAATTGCATAAGGTGTTGTGTTCTGGGTGAAACCTAAAACGCTTTTAAAAGCGTGAATGTGTCTTATGTACGGTACACTGCAGTGCCACTACTGAGCACTTAGGAACGCAAGAACATAAGAAAAGTTACCGACGAGCCCCCCCTGAACTGTTTCGTCAGATTAGTAGTTAATTGAGCTCAGTGTATCATCCAGTCTCATCCAGCCAAAGTATCAGCTTCAACAGCATGAAAGGGCAGCTTGTTCCAGACTCCCACTACCCTCTGTGTAAGGAAGTCCCTCCTGTTTACATGTTGACTGTACTTCCCCTTAGTTTCCACCTGTGTCCTCTGGCCTGCTCTGCCCTAGTGAGAGAGGGCCAGTCTGCAGAGAAAGAGACAAAACCCAGTATTTGCACAAGTGACAGGTGATGAGGAACAGAAACAAAGCAGCTAAGATGGAAGTTATTTTAAGGGGGGGATGACAAGACCTTTCATGATCGTCACCCTTCTTTATTTATTTAGTTCCTGCCACTCCAGCTCTGTCAGGTCTGAAATAAACATCACTGTAACTGAACTAATGCTCTTTCGGGAGCAGGCCACTCCTGGTCTTGGAGGGCAGATTTTCCAGCAGGTATTCTAGGTCCCTGACTGGCACCAGCATTAGTCTGGTCCAGTTACTGATTGAGGTTGTTAAGAGCTGTGTTACAATGAAGCCCTCCAGACACACCAGCCTGCACCAAGGCATGAAACTGGAGAGTAGGTTCTGGTCGCAGAACAGTCATGCAATCCAAGTGTGTAGCTCAAGACCCTGTCCGACGTGCGATTCTGCCCACAGGATCGAGCTGCGCGCCCTGGGGAAGATCAGCCCTGGAGAGGAGCTCACAGTCTCCTACGTGGACTTCCTGAGCGTCGGCGCAGACCGGCGCAGACAGCTGCGGCAGCAGTACTTCTTCGAGTGCTCCTGTGAGCACTGTGCCAAGGGCATCAAGGACGACCTCATGATGGCCGTGAAGGAGGAGGAGGGCAAGAAGGTGGGGCACCTCCCGCACTCACAGCCCCCCACACTACAACCCCAAAAACTACAGCCTCTCTCAGACTTGTCACACTACAACCCCAAAAACTACAGCCTCCCTCAGACTCGTCACACTACAACCCCAGAAACTACAGCCTCTCTCAGACTTGTCACACAACCTCAAAAACTACAGCCTCACTCAGCTTCCCTCACATCACAGTCCCCAAGACTACAGTCCCCAAAACCAAAGTCCCCTCACATTATAGCACCTCAAACTACCTCCTTACATCCTATTACATTGCAGCACCCTGATATCACTACAGTACCCAACAACCGGTGCCCCTACAGCTGTTCACATCATTGTTGGTTCAACAAAGCACCACTATTTCCTGCAAGACTCTGTGCAGCGAGTGTCCACAGGAGTCCCATCTGCTGTGAGGATGAAAAGGGCATCGTTCAGCGATGCACAGCCAGGGAGAGGACAGCAGTGTGAGTAAACACCCCTCTCCTCTCTGTTCCTCTCTCCCGGTGGCCCTGTCTCAGCCCCCGGAGGAGGTGGTGAAGGAGGTGCTGGAGTTCAGCCAGAAGGCTCTGGAGAAGATTGAGAAAGAACGCTCTGAGGGCAACTACCAGGAGGTACAGCACCCCTGCCCCCAGCAGATCACACCGCGTCCCCGGGTGCAAGGTTCAAGACAATACCAGCAGGATTTCGATATGGCCCTTCAACTTGTACTGTAAATTCAAAATGAGGCCCTTGCTAAATTGAAGTTGTTTCTTAATTACTGTAAAGAGAAAGGAGTTTGTGCTGCTCAGCTGGTTGCTGTTCCTGCCTCTGGAGACAGACAGAAAGCTGG